AAAATTCTCCCTAGTTGATGTCAGAGACTTGTAGACAGTTATAAGAAATTCTTATTTGTGTTGTAGACTTGTAGACAGTTATAAGAAATTCCTATTTGTGTTGTTTCTTCCAAAGGGGACAATTCCAGGTATTAGAACCAACTTGGTTTTTTCCCACAGAAGGAAATGGCATATCTGTTAATTTTGTATTCAATTTAATTGAATAAATAATTGCAAAGTCAATTTTTCATGTTTTTGTTCAGTTACATCACCTTTATCTTTATATACTGCTTGAATGAAGATAAACTATTGATATGTCCATACATGTTAAAATTAAAAAAAAAACTTTACATGAGTTGTACTTACTTCTTCACATTACTGTATATACATACTGCTGCTAATGATGGCTGAAGAAGAAATGGTTTTGGGTTCTAATCCTATTAAATTCTAACCTGGCAGTTCTGTTAATATGGAATGAAAGTTAGAATACGTCAATCAGTCAGCGAATGATTGGCTGCAGAATTTCAAATTTGTTGATCAATCTAGAAGTAATGTTTTGGGAATGTACCTAGCAACCAATCTTCCTTGGCACTCATGCTACACAGAGCAGTAACGTATTTTTCACATCTGCCTTGGGAAATGACTACTTTAACCTTAGTAAATGAATGGATTTCTCAGCTGTCTTCAGCCAGCCCACCTAAGAGAAGGAAGTAAAAACAAAGCTGGAAGAAGGAAATGGCAAAACTGTGCAACATTCTGGGTAAATAGAATCCAGAAGAAAAAAGATGAGGAATGGATGGATGGTACAGTATAAGAGAGTATAGAAAAGTTATGGGCTATTCAGAGACTCAAAAATAAATAACAGTAACTATTTGGCAAGTATGTGCTTTTAAAAAGTTCTGTTTGTTTCATATATGTGACAAACAACTCTGTAAGTATACATTATAAAGGAATGAATATAAATCTAAAAACTTCATTGATTTGGTTGTTTATGATAAAAAAAATTGAGAGAATTAGTGAAGAAGATAAGAGTGATGAGAAGTTCTAAATGTGGGACAAACTATATTTTGGCAATATCAAGAATGGATCATGGGACAAATGGGCATGGAAGAAAAAGAAAGGAAGGAAAGTGAAAGTAGAACAACTTTAGGAAAAGAATGTATGATATATACTTAATATATTAGAACATGAATAGAATAGAATAGAACAGGATAGACTTTTTATAGATGGGGGAAATATGCATACAAGAGAATGATTGCTGCAAAAATTAAGGACAAGAGAAGGATGCTGAATAATAAGAGGAAAAGATAGGGAAGAGATGTTTGCTGGAATAAAAATTGGTGATAAAAAATGAACTACTTGAGACATGCAGATGATATCACTTTGTTAGCCAGGTAAGAAAGAAGTAGAAGAGCCCATTATGAAAGTAAAAGTGGAAAGTGAAATATCTGAGTTAATGTTAAATATTAGAAAGACAAAGGTAATGTTAACCAGAATGCTAAGTGAACTTACAGTTGATGGTGAAGAAGTGAAGGTGGTAGATAGTTTTGTTTTCTTGGGTTACAAAGGTAATGTTAACCAGAATGCTAAGTGAACTTACAGTTGATGGTGAAGAAGTGAAGGTGGTAGATAGTTTTGTTTTCTTGGGTTACAAAGGTAATGTTAACCAGAATGCTAAGTGAACTTACAGTTGATGGTGAAGAAGTGAAGGTGGTAGATAGTTTTGTTTTCTTGGGTTCAAGAATAGATAAAGATGTACAGTGCAGTGGAGAAGTAAAGAGGATATTAATCCTAGGGAGGAAGGCAATTACAAATTTAGACAAGGTCATGAAGGATAAGGCTTTTCTATGACAACAAAGATCAGATTAGCTAAAAGAAAGGTCTAAGTATAATGAATGACTGTGAAAGTTGAACACTAAGAAAGAGCAAGAAAAATAATTTGGATTATGGATTTGGAGTAGTTACTAAGAATACAACAGACTGTAAGAAGAACAAATCAACCCATCCTAGAGAAAATATATCCTGATTGCTCCCTTGAGGCAATCATCAGCAAGCGGAAAGTCACATACCTTGGCCATGGGATGTAAAGAGATGATGGACTAGCAAAAAAGGACCATGTCTGGCAAAGTTGAGGATAGTAGAAAGAGAAGACAAGAGATAAGACAGATACATGGAATCAAAGAGATAATATCGGCTTCCTTGGAAGGAAATGAGACAGGTTGAGATGGCACACATTGTCCATACAGCCAAATCAAACCCAACATGATGGCACCTATTCCTATGAGATGCATTTGAGTTTTGGGAAATGTATGGATTTATTTGATTAGCAGAGTTTAGAAGTTGTACTGATGTGACTGAAGAGGAACAATGATGAGCTAAAGGAATTATCTAGTGTGCTATAGATGATGAGAACTGAAGGAGGAGAGGAGGTAGGATGAACACATGATGGTAGAGAACATATCCCTTTATGAGTACATGGAACCTTTTTCAAAGGGCTTCAATTTTATAACTCTGAAAAAAATGCACTAATTTGACAACAAAATTTCTGTGGACTCAAATACATACATCAAGGGTTGTATTTCTAAATTGGATTCTACAGTTCACAGGCCAATCAAAACAATATAGTTTTAAAGTTTCCTAGCATTGTTTTATTTCACTGTACTAAAAAAAGAACAAGACAAATAGGAGCAAGGAATTTAGGAATCAGCCTCGAGCAACTCATTTTTTAAAATTAAAGGCCTAGAGGATTTTGCATTCTTATTCATGAATTTCACAATTTTTCTTGGTAGCCATCATGTGCCAGCTTAATAGAAATACAGATTATGAAAAATAATGAACTTAATGGAGGAAATTAATTCTGCATGAGTATGGCTTCTTGAATCACTGACTTACCAATGTACTACCATTCTGCATATTATGCAGGTCTCTATGAGCATGAGCGCAAAAATCCAGGCAGGCAGTGACCCCGGAGAATGGGCGACCTTCTTTTAAACCAAGACGACATTCGGGAGCTCTGTGTTCATATTCAATCTAGATACAAACATATTTATACTATTTAAGTCACCAACATTTTAAAACTGTATGTTATTCTGAAGAAAACAAGGTCAGCTCCTCGAAATAGACTTGTTAAGCCCTGAAGCTGCAGCATTGCAGGACTATATCCATGGTGGGGACAATACAAGAACCTGAAATTAGCACTGCTGATTGGCTTACAATTATTAGCAGAAGTTGATAGGCTGTGGTACACCTATTAATCTCATCTATTTATTTTCTCTTTCTTCATAATGACAGATTCTTCTCACAGCAGTGGTCAGATATATGTTCCAAAAAAGCTCATAAATTGAAATAATGGAAGGAATTCCTCTTTCTGTTTGTCCTCAGCATTTCATAATAAAAAAAGAATTCCCCTCTGCAAACTGGGAATTCTGGGAGATTTCAATTTCAACATATCTGCAAGATGTCAAGTTGTTAGAAACTAACAATAAACTGCAGAGACAGACAATAAGTTTAGTTTGTGGCCTTACCTATGCATACCTGAAAGCTTCAATCTGAAGTGCCATTAGCAACAGAGGCAGAACAATATGAATATATTTCAAGATAGGCATCCATTCCTAACTACAATGATGCCACAATGATAAAATATTGTAATGTTATAAAAAGAGAAGAGCTTGGATTATAACATTGTGATGTATGTTCTGCTACTTGTCCCTCACCCCGGCAGATATCTGTATTTCAAATTCTCCCTTCAGATTAGAGCTCTGGAACGCCTGGGCTGTGGGGTTGCCTCTCTCTGATGGTCATGCACAAAGGAAGACCAAGCCAATTCTCCTTTCTCTCTAATCCAGTTCCATTAGTAGATGACAATCATGCAGTGTCCTGGGTCTTTCTACTAAGTGCTAGGGGTCTGGGTCTTTCCAATTTTTCCAATACTGGAGATTTGGGCTGGGTTCATACATCAGCTAAGGCAATAACATACTTAGTTTTGGTATAAACCCAGCCCTTGAAAATGATGGTTTAAGCCTTATTACACGTAAGCCATGCTACTATGCCTTGTTTAACAAATCATGGTTTATCATGTGCAAATTCCATCTTAAAAGCTGGACAGAAGCATAAATGTTTTTCTCTGACTTAATAGTACACTTTCAGAAACACAGAAGTAGTCAGGAACAAAACCAGTTAATTCATGCTGATTTCTATTTCTTTCAAATTAATTATTGTAAAGTAATAAACATGTAGCCTCATGAATAAATTCTACTTCCCAAGTAGTTTCTTTGAAAGGTTTATGAGACTTATACATTGGTAAAATAAAGCAGTTATGAGTATCTTAGTATTGCTGCCAAACATTTCTGTTTTTCTTTACTCACCTGGTTGTTATATGCATCAGGTGCCAGTTTCTTGTAAGTGGGTGCCATCAGAGTTGACAAAGTTTGCAGATTGGATTCTAGCTTCTCTTCCTAATTTTTTTAAAAAAGAAGTTCACTCATTAACAGCTAACTGCTACTTTTAGCTAATAGCTTTAATTCTGAAAAACACTACAGATATCTCACTCAGTGAAATGATTCAACAGATCATGAAACTAAGCTATTTTTCCCCCCCTGGAGGAAAGAAGAGCATGGGGCAAAATAATAGCTGTCTTCAAATATCTGAAGGACTCTTGTGTAGATAATGAAGGGAGCTTTTTCCTCTGTTGTTCCAAAAAGCAAAAGAAGAGTCAGTGAATAGAAACTGCAGGAAATTAAATTTGGCTTAAAATTAGAAGAAATGTTCAGCAATTCCAAGAGATTGTTTTAGGAAATAATGGGATATCCACTAGCAGTATTTCAGCAAGGTGTGAATCAGTATCTATTAGGAGTGCTAAAACTGAAAATACCTGCACTGGAAGCAGGTTTGAATTTGTTTATTCCAACTCTAAATAATACGATTCCATATTCATCCAAATTGATCCAACAGATGTATTGTTTCAGTTCTTGGAATCCTCTAGACAGAACAGCAATGTTAAAAACTTACAAATAAAGAACAAGAAAAAATATAGAGTTGAAGCCTAATCCCCAGACTAAAAATAGACCCTTGACTATGCTAGACTTCTTGTACTGAATCTCACCATTATAACTGAGGAAAAAATATATCTGGCTACATAGAAAAAGTAATTTAAGGATAACCCTACCTCTTTTGGATCATCGCCTAATAGTTTAAACTTTCTTGGGATCTTGCTTCTGGCAAATTTGCACCCATTGTAGTACATACTCCACGAACAACCAAAAGAAAAAGAAGCACCACAAGCCTCAGGATCCAGACCTTGGCATGCACAGGTTCGTCTAAGAAAAAAAAATACGTATATTTTTAGCAAGAGTATTAGTGAACTGCCAACGCACCTCAACTATCTTAAAGCAGTTTCTTCATCAACTTCTGATTACTGTTGAAATGCAGCTGTTTTAAACTAAATGAGAGCCAGCGTGGGTATGGTGGTGAAGGTGCTGTGCCAGGAGTGGAAAGGCACAAGTTCAAGTCCACCCTTAGCCATGGAAGCTACCTGGGTAACTCTGGGCCAGTCACTCTCTTTGCCTAACGTACCTCACAGGGTTATTCTTGTGGGGGGAAATGGGAGGAGAGAGCGCTATCAATGCCTGAAGGAAAAGCAGGATATAGATCTAATGAACAAATGAATGAATGATTTTATTTATCTTCTAAGATAAACTTGACATTCCTATTGATAGAATGGGATAGATTGATTTTCATCCATTCTTTCTTCCTCCTCAAGATTTTTAGCTCTCAGGTGTACAAAAAGGACCAGAGAATCATTTAGAACATCATGGATGGGAAGGGAGGGGTAATCTCCTATCAGCAAGGAGATCTCCTTGATCAAAGGACTTTTCAGGTATGAGCAGATCCTTTATATTTGTGGAATAGTTAATCTGTAGAAATTCCAAGCTAATATATTTAAATTTCAATGCCATCAGGCATTTCTATAAACCAGTTCATATGGTATTTTTATTTTCACACCATAGCAATTTTGGAAATAGAATGCTTTACAAAACTATTACTACTACAATGATGATGCCTTTGAGAATGCAGCATTGTGCCTCATTACAACCATAGGATGCATGGACAGATGATCTGAATAAAAATGCTATTTAAATATATTAAAATTTTGTCATTAACCAGGACATATCTTTAAATATATATTGAGGCTGATTTAGATGCAGCATTACATGCAATATATAGAAGGCATTTCCACAAGGGAAAATGTAAAGCCTAAAAACAATTCAAGAAAATTTGGAGGGAAAAGAAACAGCAGAATGCAGATCTTCCACTGTAAAAGAACACACAACTTCTTTAATCTAAGCGCTAAGAAAAGAGCTAGCAATATTAGTATCTAAGTGCAGTACAATACCTATTTTTCCCCTACAAGAACTCTGTGAGGTAAGTGGCAGTTTTGTGTAAATGGTAAGCATGACATTAGATTCTTCTCATCTACAGTGCATGCCTGTTGTCATTGCACAGTCAAAATGGGTATAATTTACTATGCTGCATTTGGGATAAAATGAGAAGGGTGTTGATCACGAAATGGATGAGAAATGAGTTCTTTAAACAAGACAGCTCTTCCCTTCACTGAATGGTTGTCAAAGAACTGCAGCTTTGGTAAGGCTCTGACTTGTACTGCTATTACAATAAAAGGAGGACCAAGATCTGTAACTGCCAATCTAGCAATGCTGGTTGGGAATATTAGGAGTTGCAGTTTCAGCACATTTATAGGATGCTAGGACAGGGAAATTGTGTTCATTATGATCTATGTCTTACATATTTACAGTGTAGGAAAATTGTACTTCCTGGAGGGGAAGGAAATACATACTTAACTTACTCTTCATTGAGTGCACACCGACGGTTTGTGAGCGTGCCATACTTCTTTAAAGTGTCAGACAATTCAGAGTACAGCTTGTCTGCTAGACTCCGAGGTATTCCTTCCCACACCAAGATGAGTACAACTATCACAGCTGTTTCACAGCTGTGGCCTGCACGTTCTCGCACTAAACAAAGAAGTTTTTCTTCAGTTCCACTTCGACGAATCACCTGAAAATACACCAAAAAGTTTTTTTTTTCCCTGTAAAAAATTATGGAATTTCAGTTTGTTTGTTTTTTAATCCCACATTATCTTTTTGTCCAGTTTTTCATAAACCAGATTTCTGCATATCTTTTGTATGCCATAGTTCTCTGGTTCAGCTTGCAGTATCTTTCCTTGTAGAGATTTTCAAAGCAGGGCTGAATAAGAATTTGCCTAAGACTTCAAAGAGCTACTATGAGCTAGGAAAGACAATTCTGGGATAGATGGACCAACTTTCCATCATCATGTCTTCTACCCAATTCTATATGAACAGGTAAGAATGATAAAACAGTAGGATCAAAAGTTCATGAACTGTGGTATGCACAATATATCTTCATTCCAACCTTTAACACTGTGGGTTGTGGGTTTTAAATTTTAATAATAGATTTGAAATGGCAGAATAGAATAAACTTAGCATAATTAAATAAGTATACAACATAGTGAGTTTGCAGATCCACATATTTTTAAAGGACTTATGTACATAAGATGGTAATTTCATCTTATACATTTCCTATAAAATTTGCTAAGACTGAACAGTTATTACTCTATCATCTTTTCTTTAAAATATATCCCCAGTTAACTTCCATGGTTTTTTCAAAAATCTGAATAATATTTCTTTTTGCAAACATACACTAATTATATCTATAGAGGTGAACAATCTGTAAGGTCAAGTGAAGATCATTCTTACCCATTTAGCTATAGGACATCCTTGAGCACTTCTGCCTTCTTTCCCTGTGTAGACAATCTTCTCTATTCTTATGGCTTTGCCCTTTTGTCCATAGCTTTAAAAAAATCAACTTGTGAAATGAGTAAATATAAGAACATGAACTTCATATCAATGTAAATGCAATCACATATGAACACTGGAAGTTTTTGTCTTATGACTTAAAATCCTCTCTTTTAATCAAATTATTTACTATCCATAGCATTGTAGTCAGCTTGCCCCAGATTTTAAAGAGGTAGCAACTCCAAACCAAACCAAACCGAACCGAACCGAACCAGACCAGACCAGACCAGACCAGACCAGACCAGACCAGACCAAACCAAACCAAACCAAACCAAACCAAACCAAACCAAACCAAACCAAACCAAACCAAACCAAACCAAACCAAACCAAACCAAACCAAACCAAACCAAACCAAACCAAAGAATAATGTTTTAAATGCAATTTTAATGAGGAAGGTTAATTATGCTTTATGTTTGTAACATAAAAATGTTTTGAGCTTTTATTAAATTTATAATATGGGTTGTTTTTTTTTAAACAAGAAGACTTACAGTTTTGTTTCTTAAAGATCAATTGAGTTTATGTTCAATCAGGCAAATGCAGTTTCCCCAAAGTATGGAAAATTTTGTATTGCAAGGAAAACAACTGCAAGGATCCAGAATTCAGTTGAGTCTATACAACCTAATCATTTTCCAGGTATGTGAACTTCAACTCCCAGAAATTTTACCAATAGCCACATTGGCTGGGAAACTCTGGGAATTTAAGTAATCATATATGGAGGGTGCACAAGTTGGAAAAGGCTGTAATAGATTAGGCAGGTTTTATACAAGCAGGACTTCATGTTAACATTTGCTCCTTGAAATCCACGTCAGATTACTACTGCGTAAAGTGCATGTGTGTGAGTGAGTGTATGTGTGTTACTAATTAATCAGTTTTCAAGTTGGAGCTGGAAATTTATACCTATGCACATTTAATGGATTATACTTATTTCTTAATTAAAGTAAAAAGATAAACTGCAGATTGTATTTTGCCATGCTTCAACAGAGATTTCTTGAAGTGCCTAGGCAATTTCCCATTTCTCCCATGTAATCTGGCCTGCAGGATCCCTTATGAACATTAGGCCACTGATTTGATTATCCACCCACCGCCCACCTTCTTATTTGGCAGACCACTGAAGGCCTGTTCCTGTTTGCATTTGCTGGCATCTGCCTGGAGTGGGCAGCTTATGACAGCCAGCCAGCAGAACTGTCAAATATTGTGACTCTCCAGTGAACAGATTCTGCCCAGGGTTGGCAAAGCTGGAATAGCCAACCTAGCAATAATTATAGTGGTTTGCAATGATGGTGTTATTTATGTACATAGACTGGAAGAAATTCTGACATGCAAAAGTGGATATACTTTAATCTGCTTGCACGCCTTGCTAATTCATTACCGTTCTTCCATTATTTCTCTAATAGCAGCGACATTAGGACCAGCTCCTAGATGAGTATAGAAAGGGCCTTCATCTTTTTCAATTATCTGTTCTGTTTAAAACAAAAAAGACACAAAAAAGGTTAATAGGTATGTTTTAAAAGTTATACTACACACTTTTGGTATAGTCTATATATCTAAAAATACAAGGCTTTCACTGGTGAAGGGTGAGGACAAACAAAATATTTGCAAGGTTTAGTAATAGTTTCTGTTCTATGGTATGATGCGTCTTAACAACATATCTAAAGGATAACAAATTGGGAAGCCTACTCTTTCTTAATAAACTATAAAAGAATAGACAGCCTTTCTATTATTCATTTTGTAAACAATATCAATCAAAACTTACCAACACAGCTACATGAAGGGAAATCATATTGAGTTTTGACAGGTGTATCCAGCAAGTTTTTTACAGGTGTATCTAGTAACTTAGAAGGCGACTCTAAGAAATTATTGAGGGCTGTTCCAGAAGTTCTTTTGGTTGGTGTTTTTTCATTAGAATGAATGGCTTGTTGATCTAAAGAGACGGCATGGCTGTTGAAATCTGAACTGTTAGAATTCCTTGTCAGAACGGTAATGGGCCCCGCAGCCTCAATTTTCACATGTTTGGGTGATTTGATAGTAAGAGACTTGTGATCAAAGGGTGTTTTGACCTGAATCTGTTTCAACTGTTGCTCCATGGTTTCAATGATACTCTTTTGTTGCATGTTGTCGCAGCCAAAGTGCTGAACCTCTTGCTTAATTGCTTTCTTCCATGTTTTGTTTTCCAACTGTCCAAGCAGTGGAGGAAGGCAGACATTTGCCTTTGGGCCAGTTTCAGCTTTGATAGATTTGAAGCCCATAGTATGACATGACTCAGATTTATTTTGGTTAACTTGTTGTTTATTCAAGATATGCCATCTGATAGCAGCATGCTTTTGAAAATCTCTGTGGGGTTGAGAGGGAAGATAGTGGCCATGGCTCTGATCTATTTTATGGGATGCTGCTTGCTGAGTATAGGGTGAGTATCTTTGTTGAATCTGAGTAGCTTGTGAGTTATCCACCTTGGTAGTCAAGTTAGAATATTCCTGTGCTTGCTGGAAGGGTAGCTGTAGAAATGAAGTTGGTGGAGATGCAGGTTTTTGTTCCTGAAAGCTCTGGGGCAGATCTTCTTTTGGAGTTGCATTATTTGGGTAATATTGCATGTGCTGCAAATCATGAGTTATATTTTGAGTTAAGAGCTCTGTGTTTATGGGATCTTCCTTTTTCTCAGAAACCAAGTGCATGTTGTTTGAGCAGGAATGCTTTATTACATTATTTGCTTTAAAAGCCTGATTATAAAGGGAGTCTTTATTGGTTATATTTGAAATATGGTCTGATCTGGTCTGGGGGATTTGTACTGGGAATTCAGTTGATTTGAAGTAATTACTTGCTATTTCAAAGCACTCTTCTAATTTAAGCTGATTTAATGATGTTCCATCCCTTTGTTGTTCTTGACTGTTGTTTGACTGGGGAAAGATCTGGGGCAATTTTGTGGTTTTCATTTGTTGTGGGGAGTTCATTGTTACTTGTGAACTCTGTGGTGGTTGTACTGGCTGAGTCTGGTGTACCGGTGGCAAAATATGTGAATGTATGAATTGCTCATTCTCAAGTGGTGGAAGATCTAAGTGCTGAGGCTTTAACTGTGCCTCCAAAGTCTGTTCAAGGTGGAGTTCAGACTGTGGCTGAAAGTGAAAGTGCCTCGAATTTTGCTGCTGATCATCCATCTTTTTGGATTGTGGGGAGTGCTTTGGGAATGGGATTTGCAAATCATGAGTAAAATGATGAGGCAGTTGTGCTGCCTCACCCCTGAATAGTACTGGTATTTGCTCACCCTGTGTAATGTTCTGGTAGCAAGATTGCCCTGTAACTCCTTTTGATTCATTGCAGCTTCTATTATATTGTTTTGGGTGTGTCTGCTCGGTTGAATTTTCCTGGAGTTGAAGCATGGTCCTCAAAAGTATCTCATTTGATTTTGGGGGAGAATCACTGGGGTGAAAGTGAGAAGAAGTCATTTTCATCCAAGAAGCTTGTGAATGGGCTTGTGACTGCTGCAAATGATTTTTCACCAGATCTTTTTCATTATCAGGAGTAGTCTGCTGATTAATCTGGCTCAGAAGATGTGGAAAATGTTGCAATTCTTTACTGATTCCTAATCTTTGTGGATCCTGAACTTTAGACTCCAGTTTGGACTGAATTTCACTGGGATATTGCTGCCTTACACCCAGTGTCACGGTACTGAGTGTCATATCTGTTTCACTCCCAGCTGCTTGTGAAACCTGAATCTTGTATTGATGACCCTGTTGAGAACTAAAAGCTTGCTGGCAAAAGCCAGAAAATTGTGTTGCACATTCCCCCTGATGATGTGGTAGCCCTCCATTATTTTCTTCTTTCAAATTGGAAACATTACTAGGTTCTTCTGAAGTCTCAATAGAGAGCGCATTGCTTATTTCCTCCACTGGAGAAGGTGGTGCAATAGGGGGTAGATTAAAAGAATCATCCCTGAACATGGAATCTTGTTGGAAGGAAGCACCAGTTTCTTCTCTTGGCTCTGACAAAACCTCTGAGCTATTGTTATGAGTGTTCAGACTGTTGTTAGGATTGAGGGAGAAATCCTGACTGGGAACCTGCCCTGTGTTTCCTGAAACTTCACGGTTGTCTGTAGGTGACTGATAGGTATTTTCCGACTTTTGCTGCTCTGAATTCATTACCTCTGAATCCTGAAAAGTCGAGCTTGCTTGTAAAATGGATCCTTTACTGGAGTTTTCTATATTGTGGACCTCAGTAGCTACAGAAGCTAGCACCTGAGGCAGCTCAGAGTTTGAGGTTTGAAGGGAACTTATCTGCCCTGAGGTATGCAATAAATGTGATGTGCCACACGCCAACACATTAATAGCCCGAGTGTTTATGGCATTTGTAAGAGATGTAGTTGTCTGCATTCCAATGAAAACATGTTCTGGATTATACTGAGACAGTGTTTTTTCCAGGAATTCACCATGCATGTTTTCCATAGAAGAGGCAGAAACTATAGCACCATTAGGCATTGGAACTGCCTTGTTCTTATATGCCAAGACATTGTCACTGTTGTGGCAGTTAATATTTTCTCCCCCCTGTTCATTCTGAATCTGGGGAACAGGAGGAGATTCTGAAGCACCAGAGTTGCATCTTAAAGACTGTATAAGAACTGAAGCTGTACTTTGTTCTATTCCAAAACCCACAACATTCTTCTCACTGCTTGCATTAGAAGCGCCTGCTTGGTTGCTGACAGTGAATGAGCTATCTTGCCCTCTTTTTGCTTCTTCATCTTGTTTAAGCTTCTTGTTCTGGTGAAGCCCGTACAAAGAAGGCTCACTAAAAGTGCGTTTTATCCCTCCATTTTGCAAATACCCACTGCAATGTTTCTTTTGCTGAAGAAGGTCAGGGCTTATTCTACTACTTTCATTCCTTTTAGCAGTATGCTTCATTCCATAGCTGGCCTTCCCGTGCAGCCACATATGGTGGCCATTCAATTCATTGTAGATCTTTTCTGCTGATGTGTTTCCATTCTGCAGCTTCACTGACAAAGGCTCTGCTTGGTAAACATGAGAAGGATGTGGAATTAAAAAAGGATTTAAACCATTGCCTTCATCATGATTAGTTCTATCCTGTTCCATCTGGCTTACTCTAGGGCCATCCACAAGGTTCTCCTCTTACTGGATCTGAAAATAAATGGGAGAGAGAAAGCCATGTTTACTTGGCTATCATAATGTTATTTTATCACGTCTATATAACATGCAAGCATTCATGCCACCAAATGGCCATCTATCATATATCTGGTTTCAAGGGCTCTCTGCTTCCAGTATCAAAAGTTGTTTCACAGATTATAGTAATGATAGATAACTCATGAGCCCTTGAGGCCCCCATGATCACTCCTCTGCAATTTGATAACATGCTTTTCTAAGATTTTATGAATAAGTAACAAGAAAAATTGAGACTCCACTAGTTTTAATGCATGACTTTATTTTATAATCTCCCCCCCCCCGCGAAAGAAATTAGGCCATGTTTAAAAGTATGGCTTATGCCAAAACACAAAAAGCTTTGGTGTACATGTTAGATTTCTTCCATAGGTGAAAAGTCAGATAACCCTTATTTTCCACTGTAGATACCACATAAAAAAATTAATTGGAAAGCCATCATTTAATTGTTTATGAACCACAACATACTAGTGAAACCTTGAAATTATGTTTATAAAGGCGAGTGGATAATAAACTTTTGTAAATAATAAATAAATAGTTAAATAAATGTAGGTAGAATTCCCTGTGTATTTAACATGCACTCGCTTAGGTTTTAAAATACTTATATAATCTACAGAGTACTTACTGAAATTAAAAAAAAAAAACCTACAGAAGAAATAAAAATCCATTTTAGATCTATCAACTGATTTTTTTTGTCCATGTTTTGTCTGACTGTAATAGCCAATTAATTGTAAGCTACATTTGGTATTGCAAGTTTGAAATTATAGGATACCTTAATGCGTTAATGTAACAGCCACCATTATAAAATTAACAACTTTAATTATAAATATTCTTAAAAGATAAATGTTTAATGTTCAAATTTGGGAATACTAAAAGTGTAATCTCTCTGTTTATAATACAGGGGATCCAAAGGTCATAACTGGGGACTTAGACCAAATCAGGTTCTTTCAGTTGTCTGAAGTTTTGCTCAATATCAGACTCTCTGATTAATGTGGGGTGGAGGAGAGAGAGGTAAGGGAAGAGAGAATAAAAGAAAGGAGGACACTTTAACTTTCAATTAAACATTCATTTAATTAAAACAGAGTTTCTGAGTTATTATACTAGTCTATTACTATGTGGAAGTTTGCATATATCAAACATTAAACATACAATAAAACAATTTTACTTCTGCATACAAAATTTATAGTGATGTTTCCTTCTTTATTTGGACAGACTTCAAATCTGTTGGGATTGCAATAACCCAAATGTCCAAACAGCATTGGTGTAGAGAATAAAGAAGATGGCTTTGAGGGAGAGAGGGAAGAGCCATTACCAAGGAGACAGGAAGGAAAACAGATCAAGCCTAGGATATATAGAAAATGTGCACATCTCCCTAATCCATACGATTATAAAAGAGAGGAGGAGGAGCACAATCAGACTTGCAAGACTATGTCACTATAGCCAATCTAAATAATTGTGTTCAATCTTCCGTGGAGTTTATTTCTTGGTTGGTCTGCCTTGTAGGGCTGACAATTGGCCATGTTGAAGGGAAATTCTGCATTCACAACACATCTGGATGGAATATGTAATCATGATTAGCCATTTATTTCACATAAATTACAAAATTATGGGAAAATGCTGGTTTCCAGATCAAGAGTTAAATCTATTAATTTATAACATATAAACATCCTTCATAGGTTTGCCCAGAATACAGCTCTCAAGTTTGTCAGTGAAGAGATACATTTCCTTCACATCTTTTTCTCTGGAATTGTAGTGTCCCCCCCAAAATAGTTCTCTTTAACAGCATATAATACAAAATGTTCAGTAAATACTGATCACTGGTTTACTGTCTGTTTAGCTTACCATTGAATTGCCAAGTTGCTTATCAGAATGTGTGTTATAAATAATTGCAGTTAACTTTACAGAAAAATATACAAGAACCGTTACAGTACACTAAATGGCACAACAGATCTCACAATAGAATGGGAGACTGGCAGGACCCAAACAAAATATTAGGTTTGCTATTTAAAATATGGACTAATGTTTTTGAGTCTTTTTTTTTTCTTTTAGCATCTTGGTTTATCTGGCCTCTATTACTGAAAATGCCAAAGGAATTCCAAGTATGTGCACATTCTTTACTGTTGGAAGAAGCAATATGAATAAGAGATGGAAATATATCTTGTGACATAAGCAGAATTTCAAAGGTACCATGAACAAAGATCTACCTGGCAATTTAATCCTGTTGATGAAGATTTTTTGAAGAATCATAATTTCACATAATTCCTGATTTTAGCTCAGCTAAGGATTGACAATGGCCATGGTGGAAAGACACTGTTGCATTCTTGGAAATGTAATGTTTCTTAAAAATGCATGAATGCAGGTCAGAACTATACAACTACTCTTCCTTCATGGAAAGGAGCAATATGAATGGCAAGACTCTAGGAATGGACCTGTAATCACAAAATCTCTTGTCAAAAATAATGTATTAATACCCATTACAGAATTCACCATCTCTGAGATTTAACAGGTCAAGTTATTTTACAGAGGACACACAAAGTGCGGTACACTAAACTGATGACCCTGACACAAATATGCACCCTCAAAAGCAGTGAACACAGTTGGGCAGAGATTCTTTTTGTGCAGAAATGACAGCATTAAATGACAGCTTTGAGCTGGGAAAAAAAACAAAAAAAAAGTGATGTAACTGTGACATATGTGGAGGTAGCTGGGAGCAACTGTCCAACCTGCTCTTTGAATGTGTAAAGCTATTTTTGAGACTGGAATAGAGGGGCTATGGATCCTTTCCTGAGCATTCTGAAATGCCTTTTCTGAAGGACTGGCTAAGCCCTAATGAAGAGGTTTGTAACTAAAACTTGGCATGACTAGAGTTTTAACTGAAATAATTTTTGTAATTAAAATATTGCTGCTTGTTCAGAACTGAATTTGAATGTGAACTCCTCAGTATGATTAATTCACACATTACTAAACAGTTATACAACAAATACTGCACCAAAGGCTGTGTTTGCAAATAAATAATGCTCTACATACTGAGGTATTATAGCAGAGCCAGGTTTGTCTCCCCAAGTTATGCAATTAGTAGTATTAAATTTGAATGTTATGCTCACCTTTCTGCAATTTTACTGTCTTATTGTACAAAGACATGTCAGAAATTACAGAAATTCACATTTTAGACATTATCTAAAATAGCCATAAGTATAAATGCTAGTGAGGCCTGAAAAACCTTTGGTTTACGTCTCCATATTCAAACAATATTCCTGAACAGTCCAAGTACAGGATTTGGACGGAAAAAGGAGTAATTCTTGATATAAGGGAGAATTATGTCTTTTTCAATATGGGAATTAATATAAAATTCTATAAAATTACTTAAAAACCTGATTAAATAAAAATGCTTCTTTCTCTAATCAAGAAGAATCCTCAGACAACAGTATTTCTTGTCAAGTATGTTTGCCAAAGATTATCAGTAAATATGACCAGAAGAACCTGTCAGTTATATTTCTGACAGATGGATGTAACAGCAAAAAGGCAGATGCACATTTGGCAAGATCAGATTAGACTGAAGCTTCATGAGAAGGTTCTGACTTTGACAAGGCAGGAGCAATCAGGACCTTGGACAGAGTATTGTGGAAAAACTGGCAAGAAAGGGCAAAGGTTTTCTGCATTTTACAAATCTGTTGGGCCCACTCATCTGTGGTTTCTGCAACCTTAAACAGTGGCTGTTGTGTTCTGTATCCATGGTCTCCTAAAGCTTAGTAGAAATGAACCTTACAATCTGAGAAATCTGAGAACTCTGATTCAGCAACATCTTCTGCTCTAGAAGATCTAAAAGTAAAGGGTGCGCATGGGGGTGGAGATTTCCTTCCATGCAATTTAAAAATAAAGGATTCCTTTAGTATCTTGTAGCAGTGGAGTGAATAATTTTCAGGTATTACTTTCTGAGAATATTGAGAGGATGCTTGGAGAAATACCATTTGTCATCTATGTGTTAATACTTGTCTGAAGCTATCTAGAGAGAAGACATTGAGCTGGAAGTAGGACCGCTCATTGCTTCATGAAGCACCTTGGGAGAGAATATTCCTCTTAATTGGTCCCTATTATCTTGAAGGATGTGGTTGCAGGGCCTTTTCTAGAAATGAAGAACCTAGATCTTCCTTAAAATGTTCTTTTTCTCTCCCCCTGTCTCCTTGAGCAAAATACATGGGTAGAAAGCAGTTAAACAATTACATCTTGACTCATTTCATTCTAACATTTTTTTCTGGCTCAATCTGTTTGTGTGCTCACAGCTAAAGGGGAGGAGCTTACAGAAGTAGCTAATGCACTGATTGAGCAATTAGCTAGTGATGGGGTTGTACTCTTCTGCCAACATCTTGGTTCAATCAGCTGTCTTTGGAAAGAGGAGAGACAGTTGTGCGTCTTTGACCAGAATGAGTAGACAGGAGGGCAAACAGAAACAGGAGAGTGTAGAGAACAGCACAGAATAAAAATAAAAATGAATTTGTTGATAGTGTGAAGAAGGCAGGGCTCCAAAAAAGAGAAAACCAAGTTACCAATAATAATTAGTATTATTCACCAGGAAGGAATGATGCCTTCCAGCTTTTGCATGGGACCTGTGATTCTCAACCTTGCCAGCTTCTGTATCTGTGGACTTCAACTCCCAGAATTCTGAACAATGACTGGTCAGGGAATTCTAGGAGTCAAAGTCCACATATATGGACGTCACCAAGGTTGGGAAACAGTAGCCTAGAATATCCAAATTATGACCACTGTATTTAACTTCCCTGATTTTCAACTTTATCACTGGGCATACATTTTGAGCTTAATGTCTTTATGAAATGCAAATGATCAGGTAAAAAAAAATCATTGGCACAATTAGAAGCTATGACTCCCCTGGCATCATGGCAGGGACTTGGCTTCACTTTTAGCAATATTTTATTACACTTCCT